TCAGTAATACTGAATGCAAATTCTGTATATACTTGATGTACAAATAGAACAAACATAAGCAAATCCAGAAAGGTAGTAAATAAATATCAACAGATAGTGGCTTTAAATGTACGTGAAAAGGTAAATAATGTCAATTTATTTCACATCTACAGTATGTCAACTACTTGCATCACTTTGTACCATAACTAATAGTTTTCTGTTATTTTATTCTTCTTCTTTTCCTTACGTTAGCGGTTCATGCTAAGAGTATCGTTGCCATCCTGCACCTGCTGGTGGCGCTGTCACAACACTTCAGAGCACCAATCAGATTGCCAGACCACGTTTCTATTCAAGTAGTGGTCGTCCAGGTGGGTGTAACACTGTGTTTGAAGGCTTTCTAGTTATGAATATACAGTATGTGTCTGTTTACTTGTGTGGCGTAACCAATCATTTTTGTTGTGGATGTCGGTTTTAGGACACCACCCTCCCCTGCCGTGACTTCCTCTTTAGCTTTTCCCACTTAATTTTTTACCATGCAGTCATATTCAGTAAAATGTATACATACTGTCATTTATTTATGTCTTTCAGAAAAGAGAGGGCATTCTTCAGTCCAGACAAATCCAAGAGGAAATCACTGGCAACACAGAGTAAGTACACTCTGCTTTCAGACTCTTTTTTTTTTTTTTTACACTTCATAACATGTGTGTAGCATTTGGACGCAGTGTTGACATACATTAGGGCTGCTGCTAGTATTACACTGACAGAATAGTTTCTACATTGACAAAAAGGCTCCTGGGATTTAATGCTATTTTAAAGAGTTTTCTTTTGCTTTTACCTCAATTGTAATGGTGTGCATTTGCTTTACTTACCTAACTATCAGGTAGGGACACTTACTACTATAAAGTATAGGAAGGGACTCATGTAGCAATCTCTCTTAAATATGTAAACATCTTAGTATCAAAGTTCAAATTTAGAATAGTTTCTTCAAGAATACATTTTCTTTTTGGTCAGTTGGAATCAACATGCTTTTTTATTATCAGCATTTATTGTTTATTGTATTGTGGAGGGACATAAACTAACTGCAGCACCAAAATATACTTACATGCCTACATTTCAGCATTTAACAGGGAACTTTACCAATTTAACACTACTGCCTATGTAAAAGAAGCTTTATATTTAAGTCTTGCGTGGCTCCAGAGGGAGCTGCGTGAAGTCACAGTACAAGCTGTCTTGTGCTGCCTGCTCCTCATCTCAGCTCGAGGCTACTGGCTCCAGGCTACATTAGCCGCTGCTAGCATGGCACACCCAAATCTCAGACCCAACTGTCAACTGTCGAGTTGCATTGTGGGTAATATAGGCACCCCATTTTGATAAGGAAGAAAAATGAGAGGAAAGAAGGAAGAAGATGATCTCTGGTTCTGCTGCATCATTTTGGATTGACCATGTTACAGAAATGCAATGCTAAATAGAATTAACTGAAAGGAAGGACTCTAATGGTCAAAAGCAGAGGTCAATCCTAGAATTTATAATTCTCCTTTACCACAAATGTCCATATATGCCTAGAATAAAAACATTTAATGGCAGATACAAAGCTGTGTCTGATTTTTGGGTCTGCCCCCTCTAAAATATGCAGCCAACAAAGGTATAGCATTCGGTGGACTGAACGCTTGTTGATGAAGATTTACCCCAGCTTCATTACGAGTTTCCGCCCACAGCCTCAAACAGATTAAGAAGTGACCAGAATTCAGTGAATTTGAGGAACCTGGAACTGTGTCAGTTTTACTAATCACAATACTCTAATGCCAACAACCTCAAAAAACAAAGACAAAAAAAGGTGAGAGAACAAATCCAAGCAAGCATTCAGTGCCTCTTTTTGGAGCTTGACAGTTTTTGATATTCGATGGAACAGACACAGTTTGGTCAGTTTTATACCGAACTTTAAACACAGCCAGTCAGTAGAATGATAGAGTGGTGGGAGCTTGAATATTGATTCTTGTTGTTATCTTCAAACAGATCTGTACAGCCCACCGCACTTTAAATAGACTTTTACAAGAAATGTTGTGCCATGGCATATAAACAACTATTGTATTTCAACAAGACCATGTGATGGCACCCTTAGCTGAAGAATTAGACAATTCATACACACACACTCTCTCTCTCACACACTTTTCTTTTCTCCCTGTGAGGCTGTCCTGCAGCCTGACGGCAGCAACGAGGGAGATAACAGCAGGCCAACACACACAAGCACACACATTTTGTCACGGTAGATAGATACACTTTTAATAACACACACACACACACACACACACACACACAGTCAGGCTCACACACACTCACACGGTCACAGTGGAAATACGGTTATTACCACACCACCAGGACCGTTGCCCAGGCCTGCCTCCCTTTGCCATCACAGATTACACCATGAACATGTGTGAGAGCTTCCGTCTGTGTGTGTGAGTGTGTGCCTGCCATTTCTTGCTGGCCTGCCCGCTGTGATATCTCTTCCTCGGGGACACTCACACCTCTGCGCTCCCTACCCTCCAAAACCACCTGACCCCTTCCAACAGCAACGTCCTCCAAAGTGCTAACATTGTAATAATAGACAAGAGAGGCCCTTCATTCCCATAGAAAAGCTGCATGTACAGAAAGGCACGTCTTCATTCATTGTATCAGTACCCAACAGTATTGTTGTGCTGTTGAGATTATTGCATTGTGCTATAGTATGTGGTCACTGTGAACGTCCCAGTGATGATACCCAGGTTATTTAAATACCCAAGGTGTACCTGTGTTTATTGTTAATCAAATTAGGATACCCTAGCTACGTTATTGTGTTGTCATTTCTGTGACATAATCCCTCCATTCTCTACATTCCTCTGTGATTGAACTGGAAGCACTCGTGTTCTATGAATATTCAAGTGTGAAATTGTCAATAAGTGGAAACTGCCTCTGATTTGTGTGTTTGACATAGTTTGTTTCTTTTTTCCCCAATTCCTGTCCCCTCTCTCTCAGGGCGTTCTCTGGCAGACATGGTATGTTGTGTATTGAACAATATTTTCTTAAGGAATGTTCACATGTTCAATGTGTCCCTGTTTTGAGTGATTTTCTAAATTTTTCTTCACAGAGCGTGACGCTTTCGACACCCTGTTTGACCATGCTCCAGATAAACTGAATGTTGTCAAAAAGGTATGGAGGCTCCGCAGTGGCAATCCCAAGGTTATCGGCCAGGCCTGATGGACGGATGGCAAATAACCTTTAAATGCATGCAAAACTAGTCTGTGTGTATTTAACCCCAAACAGTGATTTTTACTTCTGTCCATGGTCCAGGTTTTACTCTGCACAGTTATCTAGCTGACTCCATGGACCCTGATTAATGAGGCAGAAAATACATACCTGAAAAGACTGTTGTGGTGTGGGTATAGATCAGTTCACCATTGTTTTAAGTGTAAATAATCTGATCAGAGTTGTTCCCTTATTTGGCCTACTGTGATTTTGTAAACAGTCTTGTCTCCAGTAATCTCTACTCCAAGTCTACAAGTCTGGGACTTGATGTAATCGAAAAGCAACAAAGCAAAGAGTATTTTTTGTCTTTGTTAGCAGCACTCTAATCTAGTAAAACAATAAGCAGTTACTAGATACTGACATTAGATTCTGGAGTGTGAAAGTTCATTCTTGCTTTTGGAGTAAAACAACAAAAGAAATCTTAACTCAAGGCCCTCTTACTAGCTTTTTTACTGGCACTTTTAATCCCATCTGATGGTGTTTGCCACTGGATGGATTGTGCTTAGTTTTCATGGAGTTAATTCGACTCAACAACTGAGCAAACTACCAATTTTATAAATCATGAGGATAGCTGCAGTGGTTGACCTCCAATATGGCTGCCTAAGGCCAAGGGGTTGTAACTGCCCTTTGTTTGTGTGTGTCTACAAGGTGTGTGCAGATTGGTGTATACAGATCTTTGACATTCCCTGTCTTGTGTGAAATGCCAGCTTTTGTGAAAGACTTTTTCCTTTGTGTTTTCTCAGACATT